ACTTCCTATGATTAGAAGGACAAAACTCCTTCACATGCAGGACAGAACTTTCATGGAGGCTGGTCCAAGAACACAAAATAAACATTCTGAGCAGGCAAACCCCACCATCTTCATCAACTCCAAGGGCAAAGCACACTTCTTGCTCTTGCTAAGCCAAACACCAAAATGTTTTTAACATATGTAATAAAAACCAAGACTCTCTTTTGCTAACACTTCTTCCCCTTAGAAAAGAATGATAGACCACAGCACTTACCACATCACTGGAACATTGATCAACAACACTGGGGAAGAGAGCACTGGATGCCAGTAGAGAAGCAAGATCCCAGTCTACCTCAGTATAACATCTGTCTGCCAACAGCTGCCGTGCTCCCACTACCTTCCCTACTATGACCAGAGGAAGCTTTTACCCTTCTTTTTATACCACCCACACTGTCATTCCAAAGGAAGTAAGCTCTACAAAGATGACCTTCAAACATGAATCACTTTTCATTGGCAGATACTTTTGCTGTGCTTTCTGGATATCTGCTTTAAATGACAAAGACAAGACAGACTGAAAATCTGGAATAATGTAGAAGACAAAAGTTTGGGGTTCTTTTCAGTTCCTTCTTCTGTGTTCCACAGCTTATTAGACAAAACTGTTTTGAACACTGCACTTGTCACTTGAACACGGTACTTCTCCCACCCTTTACATTAGAAATATAATGAAGAACTGCAGTAAATTAGGTATGTAAGACCTCCCATGTTTCAACCAAGGTTAGCTATCCTTGGGATTTTTTTTTCCCATATATATTCTTACCACAACTCTTAAAATAGTTTCCAATAATGACCCTATCAGTGATACAAGGCTTACTAACTCTATAATTTATCACTATTTTCAACAGCAGAGAAAATATGATTCAATATTTGGGAACAGGTCCTAAAATTATCTTAATGGGAAAAGAAAGTGCACCACACATATTTATAGAACTATCTTTAAATCAGTATTTTCATCACTGTATGCAGTTCAGTTCAATGAATCAACGCATGCCTTCACCAGTAACCCAAAATTCACACTCTTCTTTTTTAAGGACAACAGGGATAATGTTCTTGATTTTATAATTTGCCTTTAGCAACCATACTACCTTGACTGCATGATTCCATCTTGCAGTGTGCAAAGAAGGATCCATAATTACTTTCTGCACGAAAGCTCTTCTAAGTCATCTTTCCCTTAGAAATACATTTAAGATCATTAAAAAACAATCCTACTGAGATAGAATCATAAAACCGTTTATCTCAGAAAAGACCTTTAAGATCATCAAGCCCAACCATTAACCAGCCATGCCAGGCCCACCACTAAACCATGTCATTCAGTGCCACATCTATACAACTTTAAATAACTCAAAGGATGGTGGCTCAACCATTTCTCTGGGCAGACTGTTCCAATGCTTGACAACACTTTCCATAAAGAACTTGTTCATAATAGCCAATCTAAACCTTCCCTGACACAACTTGAGACCTTTTCCTTTTCTCCTATTGCTTCCTACGTGGGAGAAGAGACCAACACCCACCTTGTTACAACCTCCTTTCAGGTAATTGTAGAGAGCGCTAAGCCCCCCCCCAGAGCTTTCTCCAGACTAAATCCCCCCAGTTCCCATCATCACACCTGTGCTCCAGGCCCTTCACCAGCTCTGTTACAATTCTCAGGACCCACTCCAGCACCTCAACAACTTTCTTGTAGTGAAGGGCCCAGAACTGAACACAGTATTCAGGCTGTGGCCTCACCAATGCCAAGTACAGGGGGATGATCACTACCCTACTCCTGCTGGTCACACTGTTACTGATACAGGCCAGGACACTGTTGGCCTTCTTGTCCACCTGGGCACAAGCTGGCTCATGTTCAGCCAACTGTCAACCAACATCTCCAGATCCTTTCCTGCCATGCAGCTTTCCAGCCACTCTTCCTTAAGCCTGTGGCAATACATTGGGTTGTTGTGACTCAGGTGCAGGACCCTGCACTTGGCCTTGTTGATCCTCATACAACTTTCAGAAGGTGCATACAATTCCCTCATCCAGATCATTGATAAAGATATTAACCAGAACTGGCCCCAATACTGAGCCGGGGGGAACACCATCTGTGACCAGCCACTAACTGGATTTACCTTGGGGATTTGCCATCCAGCAAGGTTTTTACTCAATGAACAGTGCACCCATCCAAGCCATGAGCAGCCAGTTTCTTCAGGGGAATACTGTGGGAAAGTCAAAGACTTTACTGAAGTCCAAGCAGACAACATCCACAGACTTTCGCTCACCCTCTAAATGAATCACCTTGTCATAGAAGGAGATTAGGTTAGTGAAGCAGGATCTACAGTTCGTAACCCATGCTGACTAGGCCTGATCACCTGGCTGTCCCCTATATGCCCCATGATGGCACTCAGGATGATCAGTTACACAGCCTTCCCTAGCACTGGGGTCAGAATAACAGGCTTGTAGTTCCCCAGATCCTCCTTCTGGCCCTTCTTGTAGATGGACATCACATTTGCAAACCTCCAGTCAACTGGGACCTCCCCAGTAAGCCAGAAGTGCTGATGAATGTTTGGAGGTGGCTCAGTGAGCAGCTCCACCAGCTCCCTCAGTACCCTCGGGTGGATCCCATCTGGGCACATTGACCTGTGTGTGTCCATGTGATGTAGCAGAGCACTCACCATTTCTCCTTGCAGTATGGGGGCTTTACTCTGCTCCTTGTCCTTGTCTTCCAGCTCAGGGGGCTGGGTACCCCAAGAACAGCTGGTGTCTATACTGAAAACTGGGGCAAAGAAGGCATTAAGTACCTCAGCCTTTTCCTCATCCTCTGTCACTATGTTTCTCCCCCATCCAATAAGGGATGGAGATTTTTCTTAGCCCTCCTTTTGTATTGTTGGAACTTGATGATCTTAAGGTCCTTTCCAACCCTAACTATTCTATGATTCTATGATCTACTGTCTTTTATGGCAGTAGCCAAATTATGTTCTGCTTGGGCTTTGTCTCTTCTAATTTCCCCCCTGCATAACTTCATTACTTCCTTGTAGTCATCCCGAGTTGCCTGCCCTTTCTTCCACGGGTCATAAACTCTCCTTTCCCCTCCAAGAGTTGCAGCCAAAGCTCTCTGTTTATCCAGGCCTGTCTTCTTCGCCATCAGTTCGTCTTTTGGTACATGGGGAATGCCTGCTGCTGTGCCTTTAGAATGCATTCTTGAAGAATGTCCAGCCTTCTGGACTCCTCTGTCCTTCTGGACCTCCTTCCAATGGACTCTGTCAACAATGCTCATAAGCAGGCCAAAGTCTGCCCTCTGAAAGTCCAAAGTAGCAGCTCTGCTGACCCCCTCCTTAATTCTCCATGGATTGAAAACTATCACTTTGTGATCACTGTGCCCAAGACGGCCTCCAACCATCACATCACCCACAAGTCCGTCTCACTCACCAGCTGCACCTGGAAATTATCTTCCGTATACTCCATGAGCCTCCTAGATGGCTTCCCCTTCTGCTGTATTGTATTTCCAGCAGACATCCGTAAGCCAAAGTCCCTCATGAGAACAAGGGCTAGCAATTGTGATACTTTCCCCAAATTACTACTTACAGAATGTTTTGTCTGCTTCTTCATCTTGGATGTTACTCCACAAAGTCATAATGGAACAGGTTCCCTTCTGTTCCATAACATGAAGTTTTTAAGCCGTAAAATAATCACAGCTTTGTAACAGCGAATAACACCACTTTCACCTACATGGTGGAATTAACTGACAGAGTATTTTCTGGAAAACTTTGTTATGAAAAGATACTGAAAAAAGAATAAAAAAAAATCATTTCTTTTCATGTTTAAGGAAGCTCAGACCCTTTTCTTGTACCCAAGTTAAAAAGCCAAGTCCCTTAAGCTAAAGATGTGTATGTTTTGAAATATTTAAATATTATAACTTCTAAAATACATTTTAAATTAAAACCGAAATCATGGTAATCCATTTTAGGGCATATAATTAATTCTGAAAATAAATTTAAACTAAAAAAATATAAAAAATGAAATCAGTATTTATGTTTGGTGCTAAAATCTCACAAAACTGGAGAAGGGGAAAATTAAACTAAATAAGTGGCATTCCAAAACCAACAAAAGGAGCTAAGTCTTCACAGAGATAAAAAGAAAGCCATGGTACTCCTTGCTACAGGACATTAAAACTTCACAGAGGTTCAAGAAGTGACCACTTATTTGAAGGAGAAAGAAACTGTGAAAGGGGAGGAGAGCAAAGGGAAGACACGACACAGTGACAAACAATACAGTCAAAAGTTGCTAGATGAAAACACACCATTAATGATTCTCCTTGCCCAAAAACTTGCAGAACTCCAGAAGGGAGAAGAGCATATGTGGGAAATAATGTCACAGATTTTTCTTAACTTCTCCCTAAGCATCTTTCTTCAGACAGGTTGGAGAACGAATACTAGGTTAGAAATGCCTCTGGCCTGAGTCACTGTGATTGTCACAAGCCTCACTGCTAAAAGATGCACGAAAACCTGGAAGTGGTTTTCTCAATGACTTATCCAGCACGTCAGACTATGACAGTCTCTCAGGCGGGTGCTAAGTACCATAGCTAATTTTCCAGGTTTTTTAATGGGGGTAATTCAATGACTTTCAAAGTTGTAAAACAGCAAGAAAAGCAAAAAGATTTGTTCTCCTATTTTAAACTGAGAACAAAAAAAAAATGTCTGAAGATAAAATTCAGGGGTTTTATAAAGCACAGTTAACAGTTCAGTTTACTATAAGCAGTATCTTCTAAAAGAAATAAATTTTCATTTCAACATGCATTTTTTAACTTCTTTCTGTTAACATGCAGCCAGCATACTTATCCTGTAAATGAAATTACCTTAAAAAAAATTGCAGTTTGCTATCTTTGTGCACATAACTCAATATCAACTAGATATAAATAATGAATTTTAACAATCCTATAAATAAATTGTTTCTCCATTTTCATGCAAAACTATAAAAAAATACTAATTTTGTACAATTCTGTTTGCTGCAGTTCTGGTATCCCCAACGTAAGAAGGACATGGAACTGTTGGAACAAGACCAAAGGAGGCCACGAGGATGATCAGGGAGCTGGAGCACCTCCTGTATGAAGACAGGCTGAGAAAGTTGAGGCTGTTTAGCCTGGGGAAAAGGCTGCATGGAGACCTCATAGCAGGCTTCCAGTGTCTGACAGGAGACTACAAGGATGCCAGCAAGGGACTCTTCATCAGGGACTGCAGATACAGGACAATAGGTAATGGGTTCAAACTTAAAAAGGGGAAGTCCAGGTTAGATGTGAGTAAGAAGTTCTTACAGTAAGGGTGGTGAGGCACTGGAACAGGTTGCCCAAAGGAGTGGTGAATGGTCCATCCCTGGCAGTATTCAAGGCCAAGCTAGACAGAGTCTTGGGCAACATGGTCTAGTGTGATGCACCCCTACCTATGGCAGGAAGGTTGGAACTACATGATCTTAAGGTCCTTTCCACCCCTAACTATTCTATGATTCTACATGTTAAGGTCTGCAATTGCTTTAAAAATATGCACAGATATACTAACTGTATTTAGCAATAAATACAAAACTACTACAGGAAATGTGCATTTATTTGAAAAACAATATTTACTATGGACACCATCTTTCTTTGGAAACATAAAGTAAAAACCCAACAATTAATATCCACGTAAGTGTAGGTGTTCAAATCCTTAATAAATGGATTCAAGCTGTCCAGAAATTCTACTGATTTCTTTTACCATCAGATACACTGTGCTTACAGAAACACTAATAGTAACAGAATTATGATACAGATTAGCTCCCACAGCCTCTCCTGTCTATACTGTAATTAGCAGTTACAAATAATGGACACTCAAAACAATAAAAAAAGCTTCCAGTAAACTAAGCAAAAAATCCTGCTGCTCTGCGCACCCCGCCCCGAGTGACAACTTAACAAGAAACCCTTAACAGAGCTTAGTGTGCTTTTCTGAGCCTGGGATCTACTTGGTGGAACTTGAACAGATACATTCATGGAGCTTTCTTAAAGATCACAGATCTAGAGCTGAAACTTTGCAGATCTCTCTGTACTGAAGTCATCTGGGAAAGCAAGGAAACTGTGCTTGGTATTTCCACCTGATTCTTTCCTGACCTACAGAAGCACAATGAAAAAAAAAATAAATCTATCTGAACAAGATTTAAAGCAAAAACACAAAGCCATTTTAATTCTGATTCATCACCGCAGCCACTTCTCTTATTTGTCTGGAATCAGTTACCTAGGTCAAAATACCATCGCTTCCTAAGATTTCACTTGAAATTTCAATCTGAGACCCACTAAAAGAAAAACAGAGATAAATATTAGAAAACCTTGCATTTCTTATCTTCCAAGGACTGGAGCTGTAGGTTGTATTTACCCAGAATGTTTAGAATTCAGTGTTATTTGGGTGAATTAGGTTATGAAGATAATGCAAAAGATGATAAAAACTTACTGTATAACTGTTCAGCATTCAACACTCCCTAGCAAGTCCTTCAGCACCATGTGTAAAACACATCCTTTCACCAGTAAGAGAGACATGAAAGATCATCTCAACAACTTTAAGCTGACTACTTGATGCACTCTAATTTTTAAAATAAATGCAATTTTCATTTTTTAAAGTCTTCTCCCCAAGATGAGCAGAAATAGAAAACGTGAGCGCTTGCACAACTAGGAGCTCCCTCCACCCTATCATTCAGACAAAACACAACGTGAACTTTGAGCTCAACTTTCTAAACCTCTTTTTTCTTTTCTGAGGCAATCAATTTAGAAGCTTGCAATTAACGCATGTAGAATGGCATTACATTTTACTACTTTTTCAGTTTGGAAAGACAAGTATTTTCAGGGTAGGCCTGATCTGGTTCTTTTGTCTCAGAGAAAAAGGTGGTCAGGCTGCAGCTAAATGAGACAATGCCTACCAACGCTATTTTCACAGAAGTGGCGGAAGTAACAGCTGCCTTCCACTAATCCATCCCAGTTCTTTCTTCCTTCATCATTCATCTTCCTTTGTCTTTCTATACCAACATCTTTATCTTTCCAATATTTTTCTCCCTCTCCTTCTCAAAAATCACTCCATTGCTCTTTCTAAATTATCTCTCCAGTCCTCCAACTACTTTTCTTTGCCTTAGTCTATTTATTCAACTGTTGCACACTGAGGATCAACAGGGCCTCTGTACATGTAATTGCAATTTTTAAACTAAGACTTTCTGAACAAAAGCAATAGGAAAGATTAAGTAAGTGACAAAGTCAACTGATACTCAAGTGTGTAACTTTCACACTAGTTCCAATACGATCTTCAAAACCAGAGGATGAATACTAATTTTCATACCCTAGAAACAGCTGCTATTCAGAAAGATGAAAGCAAGCCAGCCTTTCAAGGGTACGTTTACACTCACACAGACACGTCACACCTCTTCCTGTTCCTCAGTGGCTCAATCAACCACACCTGAATGTACATGATGTCAATAAAATTCTACATTTATCATCAATTTTATCTATGTCATGCATACAATGAAAAGGGAGCTTAAAAAAATAGGGGAAGGGTTGACTGAGAAAAGTAATTCTCTTTCCATCCTGAGGAAACTTTAGACAAATTTGCCTTTGATAATCGACTGAACAAGCAGCACTGCAAGCATCAAGGGATGGTGCAGGGATATCTAGCAGGTGCTGCAGTTTATCACAAAACCATCTAAAATAATTGGAAGTGACAACCAGCACTACCACAAATGATTTATTAGTCTTTCACTCAGCTTTTCAGCTTCCTCAGGGCCAGAATAAATAATTTACCAACTCTGTATCTTCCAATCATTAATTCTTCCCTGTGCATCCAAACCACATTTAACTCTGCTGGGTTCAGTGGAATTAGAAACACAATATGAAGTCTTTCTTTCCCCCCCAAGTATAGTATTATCTGACTTTATCTGAAAGTAAAATTGTCAGTAAAAATTTATATTGGTGATAGAAGGATTAGAGCTATCAACTTACGTTGAGTTACAAATATCTGCAGAATAAAATTAAACTGAAGATATATCAACAATGAAATGCTCCCAGAGGGTCAGGCGTGTTCTCAAGATATAAAGCACTGATAGTGTCTGAAGGTATTGATTAGCATAGTTTTTCTGATCTGTAAACTAACATTAGTTACAGACAAACATCTTGCATGTCCCACATAGTAAATACAGGATGAAAACACTAGGCAGGAGACAGAAAATAAATGAAAAAGAAGACGTGTCCAAAACGGAAGGATTAAGCATGAACAGAATGGTTCTGTAAAAAGGCAATACTTGAGGAAATATGTTAAAGACCCAAGATGTACTAATGCCCTTGTGTTCATATCACAAAATAAATTAAGAGTATTCTGTAAGGCAGAATTGGAAACCAGGACTATAAAATGACATAAAACCAAAGTACACTTTGAAATTTAAAACATAATATGTAAGGTACTATATTCCTATTAATTACACAGAGAAAACACAGAGCAAACAAAATCACACCCTAAATCCATTTTTGATGTAAGCTAGTCTTCCCTCATTAAATCAGCATCTATGATTAAAACCAAGATCATTTTTGGTACATAATGTATTGCATTGTTAGAGCAGCATCTGTTTGTTGCACAGCAACACATTTTTCAGCTTTAAGAAACAGTACTCATACAGAAGAAACAATCCAGACTTTGAAGATATAAAATTATTTTTACTTCCAGAAGCATTTTGTACTAAAGGGATTAATAACATTAATGTGCTAATATTTTGCATTCCAAGAAGAGGCTTCAAGCTGTTGGAAACATACAGAAGAAGGATTTCATGGTACTAACAGCTTTCTTTCAGTCCTATGGGACTGAGACAACTCAAACTTTAAGCACTTAGAAGAAAGGCTCTGTAAAGCTATGAAGGCTAATCAATAGGGCTTTCACCAAATGATAATACAGTCTGAAATGAAATAAATTGGCCATAACAAAAATGCCTTACCCTTTTTCTCATCATTAATCTCAATATAGACAAAAGTACAGTATATACCAGAAGTCCAAAATAGCTGACAAATATGCTTTCACACTACTTTTAATAATACAAAAAGAAAAATTCACAAATACAGAAAATTTTAGATTATTTATTTGAAAACAATTAATTATAGTATGTAGTTCTCAAACATCATTTATTCTTTTTACTAAGACTGTAAGATCTTTACTAAGACTGTAAGATTTCAATTTTATTGTACAGTAGGGTATTTCCATTCTTCATTGAAAACACAAATCATTTGCTGCTGCAACCAGCCAAGCACAAGCTGAACTCAAATCTCCCCAGTTTTTCAAAAGAACAACATTGTTACAAGGGCTGAATATTTTTATCACTATGACAAGTAATCTTTTAAAACAGTCCCAAGTCTAAAAAAAATGCAATACTGTAAATAAAACAAAACTGGAGAATCTAAATCACAGGCAAGGTATTGATACCTATGCTTTCCTCAACAGCTGAGATACAAAAGCCTTCAAAGAACTCAGGTCTTAGTAGCCAGAGGGAAGATTGAGAAGTCTGGCAAAGATAAAAATACACTTGATCCCAGCATCAGATCACTGAGTCAAAAGTCTTTTGCACTTGGAGTCAATTATTAGATTCCTAAGTATGTACCATGGTCAAATTATAAAAAACTTACAACATATGTTGGCCTGTTGCTCATACAGCCCAGACACGGGTCTCATAACTAAAGACATCCAAGAAGCTGTTTTGGCATTTAACTTTTGATGCCAGCTTATTATGGCATCTTCCCTGAACAAGTGCATGGACTTTCTGACTTGGAGAAAAATGGATTTAGATGTAAATTTCCTTACTAAGAGTTCTGAATGCAATTAACACAGTTTTATTACTGTACAGGTTTCCTTACAGGTTAAAAATGAACAAACAAACAAAACAAAACAAAGCAAATAAAAAATCCTCTCCCCTCCCCCCATTTAAAAAAAAAAAAAATCAAATAAAAACCACCAAAAACCCCTGTGTCCAGATTTCACTTCTTGATTATTTTTTTCATATTCCTATGCAAAAGTGTTAAAAAGTGATAGCTGGCCACAGAAAACAATGGGCTAATACAGAGTTTGAAATAAT